TCACAGACAGTGGATACAATAAAAAACATTAATTTTATATATGTGTTATAAATTGGGATCATGGTGTTATCACTGTTTTGCATACTTGTATTACACATTTCAAATACTACAAACTAGCAGAAAGTTCTTTTACTGTTATTCTTGTCACTGACATTTGAAAACGGAGTTTAAAGTTCAAGTTAACCAAGAAAAAAGTGACTTCTCTTATGAGCCAAAATAGATAGGTATAGTTAAACTAACAGAAATATTAATTTTTTCAGTTTGTATCGATATGTGAAAGTGTGTATCGATATTGTATCGGATGATGAATATTGATGATATATCGATATCGCGATAATCAATGACAGCCCTAACTTTTAACCATTAGACAAGAGCGATCAGTAATCACATGTGTCGCCTCATGATGGCCAATTTCATGTTGGGACAAATTTTGTGACAGACAGACAGACGGACAGTGCACAACTAGACTTGGTACTGATCATTCCTGTAAAGTTTGGATAAAATTGCACCAGTAGTTTATGAGGAGTATTCCGGACAAGCTTTTGCGCATCTGGCAACACACAGAAAAAACCACTTTTTTATCAAAGGGCCATAACTCGGCCAAAAATCATTCAACCAGAAAACCCGTGCAATATGCGCAAGGACTTGAGCTACAGATCAATCCTGTAAAGTTTCATTGAAATTGCATTAGTGGTATAAGAGAAGTAGTCTGGACAAACTTTAAAATTAAAAATTATTAAAGGGCCATAACTCTGACAAAAATCATTGAACCGGAAAATGCTGACAATATGCACAACTAGACTTGGTGCTGATCATTCCTGTAAAGTTTGGATGAAATTGCACCAGTAGTTTATGAGGAGTAGTCCGGACAAGCTTTTGTGTATCTGGCAACACACAGAAAAAAACACCTTTTTATCAAAGGGCCATAACTCGGCCAAAAATCATTTAACCGGAAAACCCGTGCAATTTGCGCAAGGACTTGAGCTACAGATCAATCCTGTAAAGTTTCATTGAAATTGAATTAGTGGTATAAGAGAAGTAGTCCGGACAAACTTTAAAATTAAAAATTATTAAAGGGCCATAACTCTGACAAAAATCATTGAACCGGAAAATGCTGACAATATGCACAACTAGACTTGGTACTGATCATTCCTGTAAAGTTTGGATGAAATTGCACCAGTAGTTTATGAGTAGTCCGGACAAGTTTTGTGACGGACGGACGGACAGACGGAGGAGAAGTGATCCCTATATGTCGCCACTACTCCGTAGAGGCGACACAAAAACGGAGTACATAAATTATATAAATGTTCAGGAGTAAACAATAGAAGACTGGGTGCGAATATGGCAATAATTGGGTCATGTGTTTAGACTTATTTTTTCATCGCATATATCACTTAACAATATGGAAGTAATTTACGAATTCTTGCAGGGAATTTTCAACTTTGACCCTAAGGGCAAAAAATCTCTAAGCAAACTAACTGTTACAGTTTCCACCATAGGCACTCGAGAACGGGACCGCAAATTGCGGCGCATATTTTCAATCGTGTAACGGTTTTTAAAAACGTTTCTGCTACATCTAAATATCTTTTAGTATTATCCGAGTATATGCCCTCAAAAAATATATTATCAAATGAACCTAATCTGTCTCTTTTAAAACTGGTCAAATTTTACGGTATAATTATAAAAAAAAGGCAAGGGGGCAGGGGACCTAAAAATGAAAAAATTTGTATTTCAGTGTGACCAGAAACACAATTCCAAATATTTCAAAATCTGTTTCACAGGCAGATAACCCGAGTTGCACAGCATTATTCAATGATATATGACATACATTGAAGAAAATAATAGTTTGCATGCATTGCTCCTTCAAAAAATGACTGACAGCAATTTATATTTACCCCCACCCAGCCAAAATCACACCTAAAATATACCAATATGGGCAATCTTCATGAAGGTGCAGCATACTCCAGAATTCGCCCGATTCCTTTAAAAATATCAGTAACAGTCGCAGTGCAAGCTATGGCATTTTCAGAAATGACAAATAAAGTGTCTGTCATACGTTTAGATTTTTCACAAAATTTATCTGAAATTTCTTACTTGTTTGGCGCCAACTGTCAAAGCTTGATTTTTAACTTTTTCACCTCCATTCGGAGAGTCAGAAATACATACAAAGCTACCAAAATGCTTAGTTTCGGGTAAAAACCCAAAAATATATCTCATTTCCTACACACAAACAAGAAAGAATTACAATGACAGAGAAATATCAGAAGTTATCAGTACCTTCAAAACACCATGTCTGAGTTATTAAAAAATTTGACCGGGGCCATCATTCGAATATGTCCCCTGCCCCCTTAAGATTTTTCATGTGATCCGCATTAAAGCATTTCCTTTTATTTTCTTAAAATATGGAGTATTTCGCATTAAACGTTAACTTCGAAAAGTGAATACTGCGGTTACTTTGTATTTAATCAAATATTTAAAAAAGACCCTATTTCAGGGGAAGTAACTAGTACAATGACCATGCCTGTTATATGATTTACTTAATATCAAGTGACAGGGACCTGTGAGATGCTTATTTTTCTTTATTCCACCTTCATTTAAATACCATAAAGTATTTTCAGAGTATTTAAAGTCTTTTGGAAGGAGATTATAGCAAGAAAAACAATATTACAGCCACATTTAATGTCCTAAAATGAATTTTACAGGAAACCAGACCCCATTTATTCTGGCATACACCTAAAAATGCAGTAAAGATACCACTGTTGACTTTATATGACATTATATACATTTGTAACAATTAAGAGTGCTCAATTATGCATTATTATGTCAATTTGCACAATATAAAACTGTTAAATCTGGATAAATGTGCACATTCTGTGAAGTACAGTGTTTGCCAAAATTCCAAACTTTTATTACCTCCCTTGACCTTTTCGAAAACCTAGCTAAACACCGTTTTCCGGTACGTTACCGTTTTAGCTCTGGGGAATTACACCAAATGAAGTACATAACACAGTTACAAGATATGTCTATTTTTCTATCATTATTTAACCGTTTAATGTGAAATAAATTGATGTTTTTGAAAATTATCAATATTTGTTTAATAGCTATTGCAAATTATTCATAAAAATAAATAGTTTATATAATGAAAATCAATAAAATTCAAACAGACGTAGTGGAATCTTCTATACTAATTGTAAATAAGGTTATTTTCTGCGTAAACTTGTGTATTTACTTTATTTTTTATGGAATTATTCATACAATGATATTTAATTATTTTCTTATAAAGAAATAAGTGTTTTATTTCAGTTTAATTTTAAACTAGAACTATCATAAATTATATATGATTAATACCCCCACAAGACTGCTTCGGAAATGAGGATGTTACTAGTAACAGAATATCTTGTAAAAGATTGAAATATAGAGTTATGGTTGTGGGCAATTAAAGATAGTTGTGGTTCTTGTATATTGCATTTCCTTTCAATGTGGTTGGCCATTGGTGAAGTTTTATTGAATTACTCTGTAATAAGTCCAGAAAGACAAAGAAAAGGAACAAAGGGCAATAACTCTATAAATACTGAAGATGGAGTTATAGATCTTGTGCACTGCACTTCCTCTTTTTGTGCTTGACCATTGTATGAAGTTGTTTTGAATTTCAACCAGTACGTTTTAAGTTATGCTCCAGACAAGGAAAAGTATCAAAGGGCAGTAACTCTGTATTTTGTCAAAATGGAGTTATGGCTCTTATGCACTGCACTACCTTTTAATTTCCTTGACAACTGTATGAAGTTATATTGAATTCCAAACAGTAGTTTTCAAGTTATGCTCTGGACAAGGAAAAGTAACAAAGGGCAATAACTCAGTAATTTGTCAAGATGGAGTTATGGTTCTTGTGCACTGCACTTCCTCTCAATGTGCTTGACCATTGTATGAAGTTATATTGAATTCCAACCATTAGTCTTCAAGTTATGCTCCGGACAAAAAAAAGCAATGGAAAAGTAACAAAGGGCAGTAACTCTGTAATTAGTCAAGATTGAGTTATGGTTCTTGTGCACTGCACTTCCTCTCAATGTGCTTGACCATTGTATGAAGTTATAATGAATTCCAACAATTAGTCTTCAAGTTATACTCCGGACAAAAGAAAGCAATGGAAAAGTAACAAAGGGCAATAAATCTGTAATTACTTTAGATAGAGTTATGGTTCTTATGCACTGCACTTCCCCTTACTGTGTTTGACAATTGTATGAAGTTGTTTTGAATTCCAACCAGTAGTTTTCAAGTTATGCCCCGGACAAGGAAAGGTAACAAAGGGCAATAACTCTGTAATTAGTCAAGATAGAGTTATGGTTCTTGTGCACTGCACTTCCTCTCAATGTGCTTGACCATTGTATGTAGTTATATTGAATTCCAACCATTAGTCTTTCCAACCATTAGTCTTCAAGTTATGGTCCGGACAAGGAAAATGCAACGGACGTCTGGACCGACCGACCGCCCGACCAACCGACCACCGGGTGACTCCTATATACCCCCCCAAACTTCGTTTTTGGGGGTATAAAAAAAGGCCGAAAACATTGACTTCGCTATTACACTCCATTAGGTGAATTCCACAGAGCTATGTACAGAAAGTACCGGAAAACAGCGTTTAGCTAGGTTTTCGAATTCGTGACTTGACTTGACAGTCTACTTACTCTACATAACTTGATAAATCCTACCAGTCACTTCAAATTTTGACTAACAAATGAAGGAATGTTTATGGGCACATTTGTCCAGATTTATTTGAAGTAAGTATAACCCAAGTTCCCTAACACAGGGCGTGTGATAAAAGATAGTTATCAGTCTGGTCTATAAACCTTAAACCTTAGGGGGGCTTTTGTTTGCTGTACTGGGGGGGGGGGGGCTTTTGTCCTACCTGTATTTTTGAGGGGGGGGGGGGCTTTTGTCTTATGTGTAAATTTTATGGGGGCTTTTGTCCACCTTGTCATTTTTAGAAGGGGGGGGGGCTTTCGTCCGGGGGGGCTTTTGTCCTACACTCCAAAAAAACCTCTAGTAATTGATTTTGGTTTAGCAGTAGGGGAAAGCATCTTATCCTTGTGCCCCAACCCAACCACTATATTATTTACAAGATTTATTCCGTATTCTTTTATGTAGATCTATTATATAAACAGTATAGATCTAGTAGATAGCCGATGCAATATACTGCTAGATCTACAGGTTTTACTTCTGAAAATTATATAAAAACTGGTCTAATCCAGATGATTTCCAATTTGTTTATAGACTAAGAAAAAAACTCACCCAAAACTACAAAATGTATCCGTGTTCGTTCATTTCCCCTTCCACATCACAAATATCCCTTTTGAAGTTTACTATCTCCGGCACAAAACCTTTTGGATGACCGAATATTTAACTTTCCACGGTAATCACACAACGGGGTCAATGCAGTTGATGACGCAAAAGTGGACGACTTCATTTTCACGCCATTGAAGGGGTGTCCAGCTCGATGCCAGTGTGTAAACGTTTTAATGATATTTCTGATGAATCAACATTTCAATTATTCATAACTGATGGAAAGGATAATTTAATTATCCTATAAAACCTGGGACAAAAGGTATTTTAAGTCACAGATAAACGAAAATGCTTTCACGAAAATTGTGTCCTGCATACGGAGTACCTGACTCCCCCGTGTAAGCGTATCGATTTGTCCGTTGCCGCCGAAACTCTTTGAACTTCGAGCGGGTGCCTGTGTAGTTTAAAGACACGCAAAGCTGAGGTTTAAACGTGTAAATTAATTGTTACAAGAGGTCTCGTTTAAATTTGCCGTAGACATGCGGGATGTTTCTTAAAGACTAGGTGAGTAAATAACTGACTACTGTAGATTTATATATAACTTCTTAAATTTTGTAATTTATTTACAAGTAGATTTTAGATATAGAAATCTAGATAGAAATCTTGAGTTGTCCGATTGATTTTACCTAAAATATGTTTAATCTCGTGTTCACATGAAAATTTCAATATAGATCTAATATTAAAATATTTAAATAAAAAAAATCATTTTTTTGTAGAGCAACATCGGGTAATTTCGACACTTTAAGAGAATTTTGCTCACAAAAGTTTAGGTGTCGATATTACAAGATCCGATTTTAACCCGAATGTGAAACTAACCTTTTTGGAATACTTCTTGATTATGTAAACGAACAAGAATGTCTTGTTTGATTTGCAATATTTATATTACGAGCATAGATATCGTCGTTTAATTTTGACATGTTCGTCTAATTTCGACATACTCCAGGGTTTTTAAAAAAAATGAAAGAAGAACATCAAACATTTATCTGTTTTATTGTGCAATTAAATGAAGGTTTATGAAACATATTCAATCATTAAATTTAATTGGAATATTTATTTGTTCTTTAAAATAATATTGATAAATAATGAAGTAATTTGATGACATAATAATTAAATATATTAAATTCATTTTCGAAATAAGTAACAATAACGTTTCATTTAAGTTCTGAATAGGTACATAATTATATTCTTTGTAATACAGTACATGCAGGAATATATTTGACGTAAATATAAAATGCTTCAGCAATGGCTTGAAGTAAGTTTATTGCGCTATGAACTACAGACAGTTATGCACAATCATTGACCGTCAATTTTCAAACCGGACACAAAACTCGCAAACAAAGGGGAAATTTTTCACGTGCTCAAGAGGCAACTCAAAAAGCATCGGTTCGCCGGTACATGAAATATGCCATCTTCTCGGACATGAAGTGCACTTAATCCATTAGTCAGTGTCACCATCTTCAGTTGCGCATCCAGGACACTGGCTACACTCATCAAAGTCGTCGTCAGTGTCAGCATAGGTGGGAATATCTGAATTTGATTCCGACGATGAGGAAGATAATTTACGTTTCCTGTTATTCATCTTTAAAACTTTTCTCTCTTGTTCTTTTTTGAGTCTCTTTTCCTCCCTTATTTTCTTTTTCTGCAGTTTTTCTTCCTCTCGTTCTTTCTTTTTTATTTCCCGTTCTTCTTTCCTTTTTCTCTTCGCTTCTTCTTTTGCTCGTTTGGTGTCTTCTCTTTCTTGCATCATCTTTAATGCCTTGGTTCCTGAAAGAGCTTTAGGCAATTTTTCTCGTATTGTGTTGACTTTCTTTTTTGGTTGAACTTCTGGAACCTTAAGGAGGGAAAATGACTTCGATACCGATGAAGAAAAAACGTTCTTTTCAAATAGCTTGCGGATAGTGCAGGAGGGTTTCTCTTGGTAAGTAGTAGTTGATGTGTTATTGACAGCATCTGGTATAACTTCGTCAGTAGGCGTTACGTGACTAAAAGACGACAAAGGTTGAGCAGACGACTCGGTGTTATTGACAGCAGATGGAACATCCTTATCAATCATCGATACTTGACTATCAGGCGACATAAGACAAGTCGATGATTCGGTGCTAATCACAGTAGATGATACTCCTTTGTCAGTAGACACGACATGACTAGGAGACGATAAAGGACAAGCAGAGAACTCCGTGCTTATGACAGTAGGCGGCAATTCTTGATCCGAAGACAATACAGAACTAGCAGACGACGTATGACAAGCAGACGGTTCAGTGTTAATGGAAGAAGGCTGTAGTCCTTTTACAGTAGACGAGACAGAATTAGCAGACAACATAGGACGAACAGCTGACTCAGTGCTAGTGGCAGTACACATGTCTATGCCAGAAGACAATAAAGGGCTAGCAGATTGCAAAGGCTGAGTAGATGGCAATTGATCAAAGGAATTATGAAGATCTGATGATGCTACATCTGTATGTGAGTTACAATGCACCTTTGATGGAGTCAACTTTGTAATGTCAATATTTTCTGGGCATAATGGAAAGAGGCCACAGCGTTTGAAACCATGAATAGCGTTTTGCAGTTTGGCAACTTGAAGCCATGTTTCCTAAATACTAAGGGGAATTGCTTTTTGGTAAAGGATTGGCCTACATGATCAAAATGCCATTCTTTGATTTCTTTCTTCCAAACTGACTTCATAGGTCCAAAAAATCCGACGTCACAAGGTTGTAGGATATGAGTTGCATTGGGTAGGAGGCAATACAACACAATATTGTTTTCATTGCAGAAATTTGCAGCGTCCAGTGACATGTGCGTTGAATGACCATCAACATATAAGATGACCGGTTTTTGTATATTCTGATCATTCACAAATTCGTTGAAAGATTTAAGGAATTCAACAAAAAGAGCGCCGTCCATCCACCCATTTTGCGTATGTCCATAGATTGCTTGAGGGAAGTCTTGAATGCCGCAGTCGCGAAATCTTTCACCTGGGTATACAATTAGTGGTGGTATATAGTCACCATATGCATTAAAGCACGCCATGACAGTCAGCTGCTGTTTTGTACTTGAAGTCACTTGGTACACATGGCGTGCTCCTTTTTCAGCAAGTACCTTCCCGGTGTTAATGCAGAGCGGAAAACCGCTTTCATCGGCATTAAAACAGCGGCGGGGGTCATTGATCATACGCTCCCAGTCAGGCACCTCACCTTTAAGATAATCTTTTAGGTTTGTGAACCAACCATCCACCATTTCTTTTGAAATGTATGTGCGCTGATGTCCAAGTGCCATGGCAGTTCTTTGCGCAATGCCAGGATTCCGTTTTGAAAACCCATAAAACCAATCCTTTCCTGGCATATTGTTTTTGAAAGGAGTACAACGTCCGTCATGATCAAGTACCTTCTTAACTTCCTTAAGAAGCTCTTGGCGAGTCAGAGGGTAACCAATGTCTGCCATTAACTTAAAATAGTTTACTATAACCTCTTCCTCTGCTTGCGTGAGGACAGTTTTACGACCAGGATTTGAACCCAACTGTGTTCGCCCTGACAGCTTATCAATAAGCGTAGTTCTAGGAATCCTGTATACAATTGCAGCCTTTTTACGGGACAACGAGCCGCTTTCTACCATCTTAACTGCAGCTTCTAGTTTTGATGGAGAATATTTCCTGTATTTTTTTATTGCACCGATTTGCTTGGACATCTTTGCCTGAAATTAAAATAAGATATTGTTTTTGGAAATTAACATGTTTGAATTTATTTTTAGTTTATGCATGTAGAATCTAGTAACTTTTGAGAATTTAAAGTTTTAACATAATTTTCATGACTATGTGTCGAAATTGGCCGACAGATAAGATTAATATCGTTCAATTTCGACACCCCACTTCAATTGTTATGCGTTTTATAATCGAGATTAAACTCAAGGTTAAATGTTTATAACATTCATATTTATGTTTTATTTGCCTCGAAACCAATACAAAAATACAAAATGATAATAAAATTATATACCTGAGTTATCGATCCTTCTTATAAGATTCTGTAAACGCCGTTATTTCGGATAAGTTTAGGAGCGATGACCTCCAGAGACCGGAAAATTCTATAAAAGGAAGAACGCCTAAAAGAGCAAGAGCAAGTGATGACGTCATATATAGTTCTGACATCATAAAATTAATTTAAATTAAGAAGAAGATGATTCTTTATTGTTGATATAATAGGAAAACCGTTGAAGGTGTCGAAATTACACCAGTGTCGACATTACCCGAAGTCACTCTAATATTGTTCTTTTTTTAATACTTTGATTTAGATGTAATGGTCTTAATTTTTCAGAAACATGTAGTCTTAGACTTTAGTGGCTCAACTGCCTTATAGTCTTATCACAGTAAATACTTCAGTGACAGACCGCTATGACTTCAAAACAGGGAATCAGACTGAAATACAATAAAATATTTCAGTAAAGATCAGTAATTGAAGAGATTTTAATGGATGGGAGTGGGACTCACATGAAATAGAGTTTCCTTTTAGGTATGTATTTTTTTTAAAGCAATTTTCGCTTGAACCATCCTAGTACAAAAAAATAGGGAATATTTGGTGTGAATACATTATTTAAGAATTTCAATATTGACACCAGTAAGCGAGTAAGGTTCCCTTGCATTATTTTCCTCACTGTAGGTGTGTTTGCATAATCTAAATAACCGGTTGTCCGTTTACTTGTGAGGTCAATTTACAGTTGTTTGAACTTCAAATCACTAGACTTTTTTGAAAGAGACAGCTTGTAGGCCCTACACACTTATTATAAATATTGTTTGGGAAGTTTTTCAAGTTATTAAATTATTAACTAAAACTAGTGTATCCAATTAAGGGTATTTTACAAAAATATGTGAGGATTCTTTGAGATAGTTGCAATTTTGAAAAACTTTTATATATTTTAAAGAACCTAGAGCTACAAAATGTTGCCTGAATTAGCGACAGTCAGCATATTTCTTTTTATGCTAAATTTTGAAAAAAGAACTGAGAAATCAAATGAGGAATTTATCATGTGTGGAATTGAATCAGAGTTAAAAGCTAATGTTACCAATTCTAGTTTGGGTAAAAACCCATAAAGTATCCAGTGATAAAACAATAATCATGAAAAGTAATGTTTCTAGGGTGTCTGTTTGACCCTTGAAATGACTCTTTGCATGACCCTTCAAATTTCCAAAAGGCCTGATTTGACCCTCAGGATTTTTACTGGAGGGTCAAATTTTGTTAAAATCATGGGGATTTGATCTTGTAGTCTGTAAACGTACTTAGTCAAAATGACCCTCAGGATTTCATGGCTATAAGTGAACACCCTGTTGGTAGTCTTAAATTATTATGAAACTGTTAATTTATATATATGTTTATGAGAAAAAATACAATAATGTAAAAGTTGTTTGTAACATCTGTCCCCATAACATCTGTCCCGCTATGTAAGAATATAAAGATGCTTACATTTGTAATATCACATAAACTCATGGTCACTGAAAATGGATTTTACACTATAATACCAAAGTTACAATGAAAATTGAAGAAATAACAAATAAAGATTTAAATTTTATGACGTATTTATTTCAAAATTATTATTTGTGAACACCTGAAAACATCCAGTGAATCTCATAATAAGTTCATTAAGATAATATTTAAGCTAATATTATCTTTGGACAACTTATAATAATCTATTGTTTTTCTGACAGTGGTTTCAAAATATGGGTGACAGAAGGAGACGTCAGATTGTTACAGAAATGAACATTATGATTCTTTTTACAATAATACTAAACTTATCTAATTTCTTGTTCTTTTGTTGCATGATAGAGAAATTAAGTAAGCTTTGCAACTGTATACAGGCGCGGATACAGAACAGTGTTTCCTGGGGGTGGGGGGCTGACATATGGGTGGAAGAGTTTGAAAACAAAAACAACAATGCAACAGGTGAAAATTGCGCGTGTTTGAAGATTGGGGGCCAGCATGTGTGTTCATGTGACAAAAATTGTAATTGATGTATTTTTATGTGATTGGGGTGGGTATTGGAGGGGTGTCCCCTGCCATAGACTGAGAAAATTTTGAAATATGAGGTTGAAAATGGTGTTATTTCCTTGACTTTCTAGTGCTAATTGTATGGTACCTTTTGGATGGTTTAACATCACATTGTATTTTGTATAGCTTATTGTTTGAAGCGTCTTTCAAATAGCATTCCACTGGTGTTTAGTTGGATACTTACCAATGTATGCACGACCGTTAATAAAAATAATTTCAAACACTCGCTCAATTTACTCGTCTGAATAATAGTTTTATATATAATAGCGCTTTTATCCAAAGTAAAGTGTTATTAAAATACTGCTTTTCTATTGTACAAAAAATAATAATTTCAAACACAAATATTCAATAAGAATTTTTTCCCATCAATAAATCCATTTTAGATATTAAAGAGGTTAGTACAATTGAAATTTTATTTGAGCCGTGTCATGACCGTGTCATGACCAACCAACATAATGGGTTTGCGACCAGCATGGATCCAGACCAGCCTGCGCATCCCCGCAGTCTGATCAGGATCCATGCTGTTCGCTTTCCAACTCTATTACAAGTAGAGAAACTGATAGCGAACAGCATGGATCCTGATCAGACTGTGCGGATGCGCAGGCTGGTCTGAATCCATGCTGGTCGCAAACCCATTATGTTGGTTTTGTCGTGACGCGGCTCATTTAAAAGATATATCTGCCATAAAAAAATATTAAAAGCAAATGACCAATTATTTCATCTTAATAAAAATTTTAGTAAAACCAGTTATGAAGATGTGATTCCTTTAATATTATCTTTATAAAAATTGCCACCTTTTAATTTACAAATAATAATTTTCAGTTTCTTAATTTTAAAGCTTTCGCAAAAAATGGTTAAACAAAGATAGTAAAATATGGTATACTATGTAACACACCTATTTGCCAATATCTGTGACAATTAATTTCATTAGACCTTTGGAAGGTAATAAACCCATTAATTATGTTGTTTAAACATTGAAGTCATTCAAGCATGTTGATAGATAAAGATCTCTGCCAAGCCCTCAGGCAGGAGATTAATAACAACTGGATGACAGCAATAACTGTTTTGATAAGGGAGTACACTGCAGCCAATAAAGTTTGAAATTAGCTAAAATATATTCTTCCAGCCCTGAGCTAGTAAATGAGCTGGGGGGGGGGGCTGCAGCCCTGAAGCCCGGGCCTGAATCTGCCACTGGTATAGGAATTTTTCACACTAAAATAAAATACTACTGAAAAAATAAGAACTGGAAGAAAACAACACCAACAAAATCCAAAACAGGATATAATTAGAAGAGGTGCAAAAGTTTGAGATGTTGAAAGTATTATATTCACGGTGATTAGAATTAGTCAATTGTTAAAACATAGATTCTTTAACCTTAAATAGTAAAGAAATTATCTGTCCCAGCCCCTCATAAAACAGTGGGATATGGATCCTATAACTATATACACACAGATGGGACTGGCACTTTAATGGAAGTTAATAAATTGGGAGTTAATTAACAAGCTGTATATTGGGAAGTGGGGGTGCCAGTATAGTGTGATATACTACAAAACAGTGGGACAGCATGCCCATCATTATATAAGCTGTAAATAAATTTAGTATGGGGATTAAATATTGAATGTAAAAATTTTATACTCTGGCAACAGAGTCAATTAAATAAAAAAACATAAAAACTCAACACACATTCGACACCCTGAATAAATTAATTTTTTGGGGGGGGTTTTTCTGTTGTTGTTTTTTTTCCCCTTAAAATTCAAGAACATTTTCTTACCATTTGACCTAATTCAATTGTTATAAATAAAGTGGAAGGAAATCATAAGTAAAGGATATGGTTAGGATTTCTGGAATGAAAAAGTTGGATAAAGTTTTAATTGTTGATAATTTAAATTTGTGTATGTAGCAATAAGAAATTCAAGCTTGCATATTTATGGTTCATTTTTTACTTCACTCTGTATCATAATATCTTTTACAAAGATAAATCTGATTATACAAATATAGTATTTTGTAAATAATTTTATGTTTAGAAAAGTACCATTGGTATGCCATTTTTTACATTAATATCTGGAAACAAGGATTTTTTTAATTTCATTAGTAATGTTCTCATTTCATTCCAATCATTTCAATTTTCATTCAAATGAAAGATAACTGGAAAAAAAATTAGGCTGAGAAATCAAAGATTTATGGAAAACAAATTAAGGTTTTACTGTAGAATATAAACTAGAAATAATCTCTTTCATGTTTGTTATTAAAGTAACAATTCCTTAATGTTTGATTTTTTATTAAACTAATGGATCAATTTTCAATCCACAGGTAATTATTAAGGTTAAAGTGCTTTGATGGTCAACTCGGAGTAATACAACACAGCATGACTATGCAGTAATGTTGTGTTATAAGGTTACTCAAACAATCTAAAGCTTATAGTACCCTTTAAACATTCTATAATCATTTGTTAGTCCCCTACCGGTTTAACCAGAGGGGATTTCATGTTTACTCTCTGTCTGTCCGTCTGCTGCAGTGAGTCCGTCCACAAAACTGAATCCTGAGATAACACAAAAAGTACTGAAAATATTTTTATGAAACTTGATATATATATTTGTGAGAAGGTTCAATACTATAGCTTGACTATTTCCAGAATTAGGTCCCATGCACTTGAGATTTTTTGCTAGAAATAAATTATTTTTTACTTAAACTTTTTCATTCCTTATAGCATTTACTTCAAACTCCCACATCATATGACAAGGGTTACAAATCTAGCATACAATTGTTGCCAGAATTATCTCCTTAAACATTGAATTTTTCTTATTCATTCCTTAACTTACTTATTTCTCCACAGATTTCCTTATAAGGCAGGCTTGGAAACTTAACACATTACTAAGATATAGACAAACTAAGAACTTGAAAGCTTTAAGTTCATTCATATCATTCATTCATTCAGTGGCATAATTGAATGGCCAATGACCCATTATAATGTTGCTGGGGTTCTAACCAGTAGGGGACTTTAATAATGGATTGCTTGCAAATTACCATGATAATTGCTTGTTTTCACTTTATTATTTTTCTATTATTTTTAACAACATAATAAAACTAGTTAGTGGGATCTGGTTTTAGTGTAATGGCTTTAAGACTAGAAATGGTAATACTTTTGCTTAAAATTTCAGGGTCTATTATCTTAGCCAGTAAACTGCATGTGAGCAAGGGGAATGTGATAAGAGAAGACTGGTGATAATAAACAGAGGCCACTCAAAAAAAGAAAATGTAAGTAACTCTACAAAGAACGTTTAAAAGGCTAAAAAATGTGTGCTTGTGCTTACTTCTACATGCATGATAGAATTTCAAAATAAATTAGTTAATGCTACATGTCCCACACAAAACAGTTCTAAAAAACATCAACATATTTGTTTATAGTTATTAAATATGCATAGAAGTGAAATTTGCAGTTTCAATGACTAACATTTGTTATGTTTCATTTGGCAAAGATAAAGATATCCCTACAGGTAGAACTGGCTATATATATGTCAGTTTTAAAATTACCATGATATCTTCTTTTTTTCTCTTTTATATATTAGTTTCCCCCCTGGCGGGCGGCTGGACAGACGCTATTTTATTTTTATCCGGAACATAATTTTTCTACACTCATTGGGGAATTTTAATGAAACTTCTTAGAAATGTTCACCAGTATGAGAAACTGTGTCGCACACATGAACCAGGTCTCTAGGTCAAAGGTCAAGGTTACACTTACTAGTAACTGAAAAACACTTGTTTGTAGCAAAACTTCTACATGCATAAAGGGATTTCAATATAATTTCACACAAATATCACCATTGTGAGGCGGAGTATCTGGTTGAAAATTTTAGATCCCTGTGACCAAGGTCAAGTTGACACATATGGGTCAAAGTTTTAATAATTGTATTTGGACCATTTTGTTATCATTTATTGAGGGATTGAAACACAAATGGTCATTAGCATGACTACAGGTGCGAAACATGTGATTTAGATTAACATAATTATGCAAGGTCACGGTCACTAAAGATGAGAAACTTGTGCTTTTGTCCAGAGCATATCTCCTACACATATGGGGTGATTCTAATGAAACTTTATAGAAATGTTCACCATTATGAGAAGCAGTGTCATGCACATGAACCAGGTCTGAAGGTCAAAGGTCAAGGTCACACTTCGAGGTCATTGAAAAAGCTTGTCTAGTTTAAATTTCTCAGATATTTGATATCTGTGAACTTCTTCCCAATAAATATTTTTCACTGCTTTAAAAATGTTCATTAATTCTCTAGTGAATATCTTATTCAATAGTAGAATTTACTGAGTTATAAATGACACTCTAAAATGATGAGACAATAAACTTCCCAGAAAAACAAGTGCATACAAAAAGACAAGTTTGATTTGTTTGTTAGCTCACCTGTCACAAAGTGACATGGTAAGCTTTTGTGATCGCTTTTCGTCTGGCGTCCGTCCGTCTGTAAACTTTTATTTAAACATCTCCTCATAAACCGCTAAGCCAATTTCATCCAAACTTCACAGGAATGTTCCTTTGGTAGTCAACTTTAAAATTATTCAAAGAATTTAATTCTAAGCAGAACTCTGGTTGCCATGGCAACGGAAAGTAAAAACTTAAAATATCTGCTTTTAGAAAACCCCAAAAGCTAGAGCAGTTTTAGAAAACCCCAAAAGCTAGAGCTTAAATATTTGGCATGAAACATCATCTAGTCAGTGTCTACCAAGTTTGTTCAAATAAATGCCCTGGGGTCAAAATTGGCCCTGCCCCAGGGGGGGGGTCATTGATTTTCCTTAATTGTGTATAGTTCAAACTTAAAAAATCTTCTTTTAAGAAGCCCAAATAGCTAGAGCTTAGATATAAAGCATGAAACATCTTCTAGTGGGTGTCTACCAAATTTGTTCAAATCAGGGCCCTGGGGTCAAAATTGGCCCTGGTCCGGGCTTCATTGATTTTCCTTATATGTATATAGTGAAAAAATTAAAAAATCTTTTTTTTTAAAAAACTCTAAGAGCTAGAGCTAAGATATTTAGCATGAATCATGTTCTAATGGGTGTCTACCATTTTAGTGCAAATAAGGGCCCTAGGGTTAAAATTGGCCCCGCCCCGGGGATCATTGATTTTCCTTATATGTATATAGTAAAAACTTAAAAAGTCTTCTTTTAAAAAACTCAAAGAGCTAGAGTTTAGATATTAAGCATGAAACATCTTCTAGTGAGTGAATACCAAGTTTGTTCAAATAAAAGCCCTTGGGACAAAATTGGCCCCGCCCAGGGGGCCTACATACAGGTGATCGATTTCAGGGCCATCATGGCTCTCTTGTTTGATTTGGGTTTTTTACGTTACACCGACACATTATAGGTAATTTGGCGACCTTCCAGCGTTACTGGTGGAGGAAGACCTCAGGTGCCACTCCGTGTATTTTTTCAAGCATGAACGGGCACCTGAGTAAAGCCACCGACGTTCCGTAAGCTAGCTGAATAGCTTCCTCACATGAAATAATCCAAAGTCCCTGTCGGGATTCGAACACACAGTGATAAGGGGCAAGTGGTTTTAAAAAGACAAGTAATAAACAGTTTATTCTTGTCCAAGTATCTTTTTAAAGATACTTCTTTTTTGTCATAATTTCCCCTACATCACAGCAAAATCCAATGCACTCAATATATAATTATATAAAGTTGGTGAGCCTGAACTTTAAGTACATCTAACAGAATTATGTAAAGGATTCCTGTTTTGAACATCTCACACAAAAAATAAAAGTAATATAAGAATTATTCTTAACATGCAACAAAATTTTATGATCCTAATTTCAAACATTTTGTCAGTATTTTGCTTAGGCCAAAAAAAAAAATCTTGTTTCTGGTCTGCCGACTGACTGTATATTTTACCCCTGACCAATATGTCAGAATGACATGGGATCCATTTATATTTAATGCAGCACTTTGCATATATGTCATCGGTTTAACAGTCAACCCCCCAAAAAATCCCTACCTACTGACCTTGTTCATTTAGGGGACTGTGACCAGAAACAAGTTGTTTTTGTTTTTTTGGCCTTATATACATGTATTTATCTGGTTTTTTTTAAGTCATTCACTTGTATCTTACAAAGTCCCAGAATTTGAAAAGATTATTTTGTGAAATGATAGATGCAAGCAAATAATGAAATGAAAAAAGTTAAATGAATCCTTATTTATTTTCAGATACTGTTGTGAAAAAGACTCAAAATGGCAGAAAATAATTGGATTTTACATGGGCATATTCTGTTGTAACTTCGATTTGGTAGCTAAAAATTGTTTAACAATACCTGTATGGCTGTGAAGAGAGATGTTGAGAGTGATTGTTATACACACAGGCTTTCAAACCAGTACAAGCAAATTACTGTTGAATGAACAAACAAAATTGGGCTATAACATATGGAAGCGGCTTGTTCTAGATTATTTTTATAAACCCTACACAACTATGATGATAAGTGGGATATACTAGAATCAGATTGTCTGTCTGTCTGCCTCACAGTCCACCTATTGGAGCTATTGAAGTGAAACTTAATATAGACAGATGTATCTCATTGCAGTGAAATTTAGTTCCAAGGCATTTAATCAAATTTGTTTTTCATATGATAGATCAGTCAAAATGTTTCTTATTTAGTGATTTATTTGTGGCTCAAATTTAGCAATTGAAACTAAACTTGCCTCATAATGGTCTTGAACTTATATGTCAAATTAGTGTATTTTCACCATTTTTAGCTTGTCATTTTTTTTTCAAAGAAAAAAATAGAGGTATTGTTACAGTCAATGGCAGCTTTTCCATTGCCGTCCGCAATCTTTAACTTTGATCAAAATGTCTAAATTATCGCATTTTATTCTATCAAATTGTAATATCTGTTTTGTTAAGGGGGAACGGTTCCACTTTAGAAAATGTGTCATAGATAAGTTTTGAAATTTATTTTTTATTTTGAGTAGGGAATGGTTCCCTCTTACTGGTAACCTGGCTCTAAAATTCTAAATTATTGCATTTTATTCTATCAAATTTTTAAATCTGTTTTGTTAAGGGGGAACGGTTCCACTTTAGAAAATGGATAAGAGATAAGTTTTGAAATTTATTTTTTTATTTTGATGAGGGAACGGTTCCCCCTTACCAGTAACATGGCTTTAAATTTCTAAATTATTGCATTTTATTCTATCAAATTGTTATATCTGTTTTGTTAAGGGGGAACGGTTCCACTTTAGAAAATTGGTAAGTGATAAGTTTTGAATTTTGTTTTTTATATCGATGAGGGAACGGTTCCCTCTTACGGGTAAACTTGCTCTAAATTTCTAAATTATTGTATTTCATTCTATCAAATTGTTATTTCTGTTTTGTTAAGGGGAAATGGTTCCACTTTAGAAAATGGGTAAGAGATAAGTTTTGATATTTATTTTTTATTTTGATGAGGGAACGGTTCCCTCTTACGGGTAACCTTGCTCCAAATTTCTAAATCATTGCATTTTATTCTATCAAATTGTTATTTCTGTTTTGTTAAGGGGGAACGGTTCCACTTTAGAAAATGTGTCATACTTAAGTTTTTAAAAAAAAATTTTTATTTCGATGAGGGAACGGTTCCCTCTTACTGGTAACATGGCTCTGAATTTCTAAATTATTGCATTTTATTCTATCAAATTGTTATATCTATTTTGTTAAGGGGGAACGGTTCCACTTTAGAAAATTGGTAAGTGATAAGTTTTGAAATTTATTTTTTTTTTTGATGAGGGAACGGTTCCCTCTTACGGGTAACCTTGCTCTTAATTTCTAAATTATTGCATTTTATTCTATCAAATTGTTATTTCTGTTTTGTTAAGGGGGAACGGTTCCACTTTAGAAAATGTGTCATACTTAAGTTTTTAAAAAAAAAAAATTATTTCGATGAGGGAACGGTTCCCTCTTACTGGTAACATGGCTCTGAATTTCTAAATTATTGCATTTTATTCTATCAAATTGTTATATTCTATTTTGTTAAGGGGGAACGGTTCCACTTTAGAAAATGTGTTATAATAAGATTTGAAATTTATTTTTATTTCGATGAGGGAACGGTTCCCTCTTACGGTAACATGCTCTAATTTCTAAATTATTGCATTTTATTCTATCAAATTGTTATATCTATTTTGTTAAGGGGGAACGGTTCCACTTTAGAAAATGGTAAGTGATAAGTTTTGAAATTTATTTTTTATTTCGATGAGGGAACGGTTCCCTCTTACGGGTAACCTTGCTCCAAATTTCTAAATTATTCAATTTTATTCTATCAAATTGTTATTTCTGTTTTGTTAAGGGGGAACGGTTCCACTTTAGAAAATGTGTCATACTTAAGTTTTAAAAAAAAAAAATTTTTTATTTCGATGAGGGAACGGTTCCCTCTTACTGGTAACATGGCTCTGAATTTCTAAATTATTGCATTTTATTATATCAAATTGTTATATCTATTTTGTTAAGGGGGAACGGTTCCACTCTAGAAAATGTGTTATAAATAAGATTTGAAATTTATTTTCTTTTCGATGAGGGAACGGTTCCCTCCTAGCGGTAACATGGCTCTAAAATTCTAAATTATTGCATTTTATTCTATCAAATTTTTGAACCTGTTTTGTTAAGGGGGAATGGTTCCACTTTAGAAAATGGGTAAGAGATAAGTTTTGAAATTTATTTTTATTTTGATGAGGGAACGGTTCCCTCTTACGGGTAACCTTGGTCTTAATTTCTAAATTATTGCATTTTATTCTATCAAATTGTTATTTCTGTTTTGTTAAGGGGAACGGTTCCACTTTAGAAAATGTGTCATACTTAAGTTTTTAAAAAAAAAAAATTATTTCGAAGAGGGAACGGTTCCCTCTTACTGGTAACATGGCTCTGAATTTCTAAATTATTGCATTTTATTCTATCCAATTGTTATATCTGTTTAATTTGTTATGGGGGAACGGTTCCACTTTAGAAAATGTGTTTTGAAGTTTAATAAGTTTTGAAGTTTAATTTGTTGATGGGGGAATGGTTCCCTTTTATCGGTTACATGGCTCTTATTTCTTAATTATTGCATTTTATTTGATCAAATTGTTATATCTATTTTTTTTAAGGGGGAATGGTTCCACTTTAGAGTATGTGTTAAAGATAAGTTTTGAAATTTGCTTTTTATTTTGATGAGGGAATGGTTTCCCCGTAAGCATAATGTATCTCTTATTACTGAACAATTGCTTTTTATTTATCGAATGATGTTGTATTCTGTACATGGCTTTTGTTCTTCGGGGGAACGGTTCCCCCGAAAACATTTGCAAAAGAAACAAAAAATAAAATTTGGATGTTTACTTTAGCTGTTTGTCTTTTACTTTTCACAAAACAATACCATTACTTTAGCTGAAAATAATGTAAAAATAGTGCCTTAAAAAGGGGAACGAGTGTATTTCCCCTTTTTAAAATATATCGAGTTTAACGTGTTTTGCTTTTTTCGTCACACTTAACCTATTTTTTTATTTATATAAAGTATCGAAAAAATGTAAATCTCAGTTTTAGAGGGATGTTGTCTCTAAGATGTTGCTTTTGCCAGTCGAGTTACGGCTAAAGATAGGTAAAAAAAGCAAGTCGACTGTCCAAAATCGACCAAGCGTAAATCTCTAGGACATATTGCTTGGGTAAGGGCTTCGGGTCCTATAAAGTGCACAGACAACCCTCCAAACCTGTGCAAAATCGAAACTGCATTAAAATCAGACAAATAGTGTTTAAACTGTTGGCTGAAGAAAATGGTGTATTTCTTTCGAACTATATACAATTTATATACAGGAAGAACATCTCGCCGGTCCAAAAAGCGAGAATTTTACTGAAACATGTTACTATTATTTTTCTTGCGGTAGAGCTTTGACCCTTATATTGTTGTGGACAAGATCATCTAAACTGATATAATCAACTTTATAATTATATTTTTATGTACGTAGCGTTTATTTTACAATAACTTACTGTGCATGAGGTCAACTCCTATAAGTAAGTTCCCTAAAGTGCGTTTTTTTGACACACTTATTTAACTTACATTTTTATAAAGTATCGAAATAATGTAAGCTCAGATTTAGAATGATGTTGTCTCTAAGATGTTGTTTTTAAGTCTGTTTACGGTTAAAGAGAGAAAAAAAAGCAAATTGACTGACTGTCCAAAAATGTTCGTGCCACGTGGAAATCACTAGGACATACTGCTTCGGGAAGAGCTTTATATTGTGCAAAGAAGACACAAAAGCGAATCCTCATAGGAATTAAACAAATGGTGTATAAACGGTTTGCTCAGGAAAATGGCGGTTTTTTATACAATTTATATACAGAAAGAACAACTAGCCGGAACTAAAAAAGACCATGCCACGCGGAAATCAGTAGGACCTATTGCTTGGCTTAGGGATGTGGGCCTTATATTGTGCACAAAAGACTCTCCAATCTTGTACAATACGAATCTGCATTGGAATCAGGCAAATTATGTTTAAACAGTTTGCTCAGGAAAATGGTGTTTTTATACAATTTTTATGCAGAAAGAATAAAAAGCCGAAACTTAAAACGACCATGTCACGCGGAAATCTCTAGGACCTATTGCTTGGTTTAGGGATGTGGGCCTTATATTGTGCACAGAAGACTCTCCAAACTTGTACAATACGAATCTGCATTGGAATCAGACAAATTGTGTTTAAATAGTTGGCTCAGGAAAGTGGTGTTTTAATGAAAGTTATATACAGAAAGAACAAAGCACCGGAACAAAAAACGACCATGCCACGCGGAAATGTCTAGAACATAAATCTTGGGTTCGCGCTTAAGGCCTTACACTCAGCGTTCAATAAATTGTCGCTTTTTGGACCGGCGATTTGTTATTTCTGTGTATAAATTGTATAAATTTTGGAAAGAAATACACCATTCGTGAGCTTACTGTTTGAATAACATTTCTGATTTTAATGCGGATTCGATTTTGTACAAGTTTGGAGGAGGGCCTTCTGTTTACATTATAAAGCCCAAAGCCCGAACACAATAATTATGTCCTAGATATTTCCGTTTTTTTTGTTCCGTCGATTTGTTCTCTTTGTAAATAAATTGTATAAAAAACACCATTCTACTGAGCCAACTATTTAGCAACTTTTATTTGATTCCAATGCGTATTCAATTGTGTACAAGTTTAGAGGTACACGTTTAGAGGGTCTACTGTGCACAATGATAGGCCCAAAGCCCAAACACAAGCAGTTAATCCAGCTTGAATATCTTCTCTGATACTCTATTTGTACTATTATTGTATATACAAATATTGATTTGTTAAATTGTGTTTGCATTGTACAAAAAGGGATAAAAAGAAAAAAAGGATGCACTTCTAATTCAGTTAATATTTATTTGACTTTTAGCTTTCAGTAAATTAAACTTGACGGTTTTTGATATCGCTTTTGATTTGTTTATTTGTGTGTGCAGTGTACAAAATCAAATAAATAGGGTTTAAATAGAAAAAAAAACTAATGCAGTTTGTTATTCATTTAATATTCATTTGACTTTTCTTTATGACGATTTTTGGCATCATTGTATGGCATTTTCTTATCCTACATTTTATATGTAGGTTCATGTAATATCTATAACTAACTTAGGAATTAAAATGCTAAAAATTATTACTGGTATGTAAGTTTGCGTACGTAAAATGTGACACTTTATTCATTCAATGGCTTTCGCAAACACAGATTAATTAAATGATAAAGTGAGAACATTCCTCTGGGAAATTTACAAAACCTTTCAAGCATTAATTGCATTAAAAGTCAAAAGGATATAAAAATTCAGGTTAAAGTCAGATGTAGGGTTTTCCTGAGTTATGGTTTTGTTTAATAATGTTTGTTTTATCAACTTAGCATGCCAGAAATTATCTTTTTTTAAACTAAATATTGCAAATATTAAGCAAAAATATCTTCTATAGAGAAATACGAAGTACATTAACTTTGAAGATTTTAGGCGTAAATTTTATGTCTTAGTTTTAACATATTTTATTGCATTTAATGCATGTTTACAAACATATTATACGTCAAATAATAAGGATAAATTAAAATGCAAATGACTTCAGCAACAAATTCTTACAACATTAGATTAAGCCCTTCCCAGAAGAGTCTTTTGTCTTGGAGGTCATAAAGCGGTAAATTATTCGGTAAACTTCTGTGTGTTACGAGTATAAAATATATTGAAAGTTTATATGGAATAGATAAATGTTAATGCAAAAGGCATGGACACAATTGTAAAAAGTTGTTAAAGATGTTATCGGCGACTAGTCTAAGACCCATTATGTCTTAAAAATGTTTTTATTTTCTTTCTCAAAAGCTTTTTTCAATTTTGGTGTACTTTTACAGTACACAAAATGTTACTCATTTTGCCAATTACCTGATCTATCTTTTTTCATATGTTGCTTTTTGACAATAAGTACATTTAAAATGTAGTAGTATTTTGTATGGAAGTCAAAATACTACATTTGTTTTCATTTTGCTACTTTTATGACAAATTATTTCACATTTATTGCCGCTACTTTCTTCAGGTAGCAAGCGTCTAACATTCTCTAAAACCATTATTTAAACATAATAAAATTGATATTTGCCCTTTATAAAGGAGTAAAAATTTAGGGATAATGTGCCTTTAGTTAACATAATTTCCTTAATTGCATGCCCACAGAATACCTCGTATCAATAATAGTCAATCATTTTGTCCGACAAAGAAACACATATAATATAACGGTGGTGACAATTTTAACAGTAGTTTGGAAATCGCAAATGTCAGTTATAGCCAACAGGAGAGTTTTCCATGCCAATTATTGTTCAATTAAGGTACAAGTACAAGAATTATAATTATGTGAGTGCCTTTTTATAAAATTATTTGAAATATTTTCCCTTTGGGAAGTCAACAGTGTTTTGTTTCAAGTTACCAAAACAGATATAATCGAACCATTTGCATCGCGTTTGTGTTATTTCGACGCGGAAAATATTCTTTCTGAATTTGAAA